GTGCAGGGGTGGGGCTGGGACCCGGCCAGGCGCTCAGACCACGAAGCGGAGCCCGTACGTCATCTGGTGGCCGTTGTCCCAGGCGTAGAGCACCTTCTCCTTGGGGTTGTAGTCAACCTGCGTGGTGAAGGCGTAACGGTTGAGGAAGGGCAGCCGGAGCTCTGCCTCCGTACTCGTGTGCGTGTCGAAGGCGTAGGAGATCTGTCCTTCCTTCTGGCTGTAGGTGTCCACAGCATAGAGGATGCCACAGATGATGAAGCAATTCCCATAGGCGTTGCGCTTCAGCCCCGTCTTCCAGGTGGTCTCTCTGCGCACCGAGAGGTCCCCAGGGTCGAGTCGGCTCAGGACAATCACCTCCTGCTGCGAGTAGTCGTAGTCCACGGAGGGGTAGATGACCCAGAGCCCGCTCTCGTCCACGGCGAAGTCGATGTCCGAGTGGCCCCTCCACTTCCAGGGCGTCGTGTCCTCGTACACCACGTCGTGGAGCATCGCCCAGCCCGCCACGTACCGCTCCTTCAGGTCGTACTTGATGATGTTCTTGGTGAAGGCGCGGTTGTAGTAGAAGGCCCCTCTGTACACCACGTGCCCGGTGCCAATCCAGTTGTAGGGCAGCTTGTAGAGGTTGCTCCAGCGGCCTGTGAGCGGGCAGAAGTGTTGGAACCCCTCACAGCACTGAGGTCCCACGTCTGATGGCCTCAGTGTGCCAGCAGTGGCAGGGGACTCGTGTCCTCCTTGCTGCCCCATGGATGCTCCCCAGCACAGGTCCCCATCAGCTGCCCACCATCCCAGCGCCCGGCACAGCCAGCATTGCATGGCACTGGGTACCCACCCAGGAGGAGCCCAACCCACCCAGGAGGAGCCCAGGCCCCTGTGCCCACCAGCCCTCACCCTGCTTGAAGTTGTCGAGGCTCCTGAACTCCACCAGGCTGTTGCCGTAGTAGTAGTTGGTGACGTAGATGCGGTCATCCTTGGCCGCCGGGTCCTTCATCCAGGCCCCCTCGTTGCGCCCGTAGCTGTGGTGCTCTGTGGGGGGCTCCACCGACTCCACGGTGCCTTCACACTCCACTTCCTTCACTGGGGAGCGAGGAGGAGGAGGAAAACTTACCCCTGCCCCGGGCAGTCTGC